GGCAACAATAGCTTCTAAAAAAAGACTTCTGTAGCAGAAACTTTTAAAGAAAGTAAAAGAAATTTCTTTCTTAAAATCAATAGAGTGTGGTCAGAGTTACACATAGAAACAGGTGTTCATTGTATTCAACTAATTTACCAGAATTTTACTAATAATCATAGAATCATAAAATCATTTAGATTGGAAAAGACCTTTAAGATCATCAAGCCCTACCGTTAACCTAACCCTGCCATCCCACCACTAAGCCATGTCCCCAAGTACCATGTCTACTCATCTTTTAAATACCTCCAGGGATGGGGACTCAACCACTTCCCTGGGCATCCCCTTCCAGTGCTTGACAACCCTTTCGGTCAACCCTTGTGTTTTTTGTTTTGTTTTGTTTTTTAACTCTGGAGGAGAGAAGAATTATGATATCCTGGTCGGTCTAATGTAACACATGTAGGCTACAATGACAAGGCAGCTTGCTTTTGTCAGCCCCTACCATGCCCACGTGAAGTGAGGTCCATGACTATTAATCATTTGTCAAAGACAGCAGGCCCTTATCAGCCAATTATAGATACAAGCAACTTTATATCACATCCACAAGTGGCAAAGCTACAAAGGATTTAAACCACAGTACAGCTGTGACTCTTATCTATAAAAACCCACAGATCTAGACAAAATGCTAGCCTGAATTGCATCACTTAGCAATTTTAGTAAACACTTCAAAATATCATTGGTTTTCCTTAAAATTTTAGGGACCTCATATGCTCCTTAGTTTTAAGAGGTTTCTTTTTTATTAACAACAAAAACACTGATGGAATCTAATTTAACCCCCAAAAATCCCATTGAAAAAGCAACCAACTTGCATGTACAGAGCAGATAAATCTAGCTTATTTTACAAGTCAGCCACTGGACTGGCTTGAGGATGGTCCTGAACCCTGCCACTTCAGAACAACTCTAGCACTCACTTTTCATAGCAAAACCTATGGAGATAATAATCCCCACGGATGCAGGTCAGAGGGTCATGGAGAAGAACAAGACACTGGAAAGGGTAGCTGGGAGCCTGATAAAATGACATTTCACTGCTTCTTCAGATTCTTACTGGAATTTTGGGGCCGACAATCTACATCATCAGCTGCAGATGGACTGTCAGTATCAACAAAGAGGCTTAAGACTCCACTCCTGTCTGTATATTGGCTCATGATCAGCTATCAGGTGGGGCAAATTCCACCACATAGGGCTGGATGGATAGGGTACACTATATACTGATGCATACACACTTTCCCATACCAGCCTGGCAAGTGTGAGCTTCCAGCAGCCCAGAGGCGATAGAGGTGGGGCTAACAGGGGAGTACAGTTCTACTTATTCCTGGTAATTCTGTGCATGTAACCCTGGCCAAGCCCGCAGCAGAGGCACAGACAATACTTCAAAAGAAGTTTTTCATTGACTGATAAATGAATTAATTTCTGCAGGTTCCAACCACCCTTGGAAAAGTTGTCAGCCCCACTTACATGGATTAGTTTGGAGAGGCTCTTGATTTTAGAGCTGTTAACATATGAAACTTGCCAGCCACTAATAGGGACAACAAATTAAACTTCCATTTAACAATTATTTTCACTTGTGAATGAAAGACCTTGATCACCCATTCTTTGGATTGAGACCACTGATCAACAGACTTTCTCATCAAATGAAGCCTGTGCTGATCTGATTCTCAGCTATAGTCCTAATCAGGCTTTTACTATCATCAAATCTCTGTGCCCACAATTCACAACGGGAATAACATTTTTTTAAACACGTAGAGTTAAATGTCTGGGTAAAACCTAACTGGAAATTTGGCTGTGTACATTTTGTATGAAATGCCTGAAGTAAAATATACTTCTTGTGAAAGGATACCCAAGGAAATGCTGAAATATTTGTGTCCTACTTTACTGTGGTTTCTGGGGAATGGCTGTTTGAACTTCAGAGGAACAAATTTTATTTGGTAGGTTGGGAAGAGTTGAGTAGGACGCCAACAGAGGATCTGGTGAGGCAATGCTTATAAAGATAGGCTTCAACTTACAAAAAACCCCTCTCTCGAAGATGGAAAAATCAGCTTTTATCAGAAATAATTTTTCTGGAGAGCATCTGTAGAAGTTCAGAAAATCTATTCATAAAATTAGGCTCCAGTGATCTTTTTTCAGAGAGCAGCTCCACATTTCACAGTTCAGTATGGCTGAAAATCCTCCAGAATATGCAATTCCTTTCAGCATTTCCTTTAATGAAACTTCCAAACCTTCTATAACACACAAATATTTTGGAAGACAAATGCTTACAAAGCAGATGCAGGGTACATAGCAATTTCCAGCCCCTGCACTGGAGGAAGAAGTAACATAGATAGTTACAGCTTCCTCTTTGGAGAGAAGAGAGCAATTCTGAAGTTCAGCTAGGACCATACAGCACATCAGTCAGCGGGAAGCACATAGCTGAGGCTTGAAACACTGCACATCACCTTGCTCATCTGGCTCTGTAGGCTCTGCAGTCAGCCTGTCTCCTCTCATTAACTGGTTCTATGCCTTGCAAAGCAGCATGATGGGGAGGTGATTTGTATCGTAGCAGCAATATTCTTGGCAGACTTATGACCTTTACCCAGTGGAACCAATGGCAAATGAGTCTAGCTGGGTCTTTTTATTGACTGCATTTCCATTATCTTCACAGGTGCTTTCTTTCCTGGCTTGTTCTTTTATCTTATTATGGACAGAAGCTACATTTACTGGACAATAGCTTCCACATTGCTCTACTTTCCCAGAAAATATCACTACTACACTTTTTAAAGTTACCCAAGACCTGCCAAATTCTTTATCACTCTACAACTATTTGCTGTTTCAGTAAGTGCATCATGTAACTGTCTTCATGCCACGGCATTTATACCCACCTTACATATATCAATTTTTCAAATATTCTGTGTGTTCCCCTACATATCTACAGTAGGCTTACGAAGCTTTAGGCATGTTCCAGTTGATCACACATTGTTAAAATTGGCTTTAAAAACAGTTTAGGAACTAAGTTATAGAATTACCATTAATTTTATCTCCCTCTCATTTAGGTACACACCCTCCGTGAAAAACATAACAGAGTTTTCCATCATAAATGAAAGGTAATGATGTGAATAATGGTATTCAAGTCACATCATCTCCAGTTTTTATATCGGGATGCAAACTGACCTCATAATTTTGTCATCTTCTGTATTTACAGCCCAATAATGCTTTTCTGGCAGTTCACAAGGGCTACTGAATTTATGAGGCACTTGCAAGTCAGGTATTTTACGAATACTTTGCCTTCATTTCTCGAAAATGATTTCTAGAGAACTTTAAGTCTACTGTGTGTACTGGATTAAAATAGCATAAGAACAAAGTCGTAATTTATACTATTTTGTTTTAAATTTTATTATATGGAAATACAAGTTTTCATTGTTGATCATATTAACGTTATATGATGAAATGCTTTATTTTTTTACAGATAATGGTGTTTATTCTGTTTTTCAGTATATAAAATGTACCAAGTACAAAATTGCTTTAGCACATGCATAAAAATAACTTAATAAAACCTGACTCAACCAATGTATGGGCAAAATGAAGACAAACAATGTAGCTTGCACTAAAATATAGGGAATTCTAATGCCATCAGAATTATGCAATTGATTCTGCAATAAAGAGTCCCTGACAAATTGTCAGTCACAAGTTACCTGATATCTCACTCTGCGGACTATAGTCAAGTGTCTCTGTCCACTTCAGCCATTGTAACAATTCATAAGGACAGAGAAAAGTTCCTTCAATAACCAGCACCTAAGGCAGAGAGGTTTTCTAAACCAACACAAGCACTTTGATTTACATGTAAAACGGAACAGGAATCCAGGATTATACTTTAACTCCAGTAATATATTGTGTACACTAGGAAACATATGGCTGCATGTTGCAATTACTGATGTGTCTGGGTGAACTTGCACAGCGAGTTTCATAGTGTTCACTTCATAAAATCTAAGAAGATAATAATAAAAATGTGGATGGCAAGTGAGACAAGTGTCTGAAAACATCTGTGTGAGGAGAAATGTGTATTATACTGCACAACTGACAGTGCACTATCATAAAACATTTCCGACTGTTGATAAAAGATAAAGGAGTTGTATCTGAAATGTCCTCTCCTCCTATCCCTCCCAACACACACATTGTCCAGTTAAAACTTGGACAAGCAAAATCCACATTGATCACACCAAGTGAAAATGAAACAGGACTGCTTTTAAAAATAAGTATGCCTCTTGTTCAGGCTGTTAAAAAATTGACAAAGCAATGTTGGGGTTTCACATGTACAAGGCAGTTCTGAAACCGGACAATTAATTTTGATTGTCTTGATTTGATTATTTCTCCCTACCCACCCTCTCCCCTTGTCTTCAGATCCCCATCTCACCTTATATTAAAGTCACAGGGATTTTGTTGCTGATTCCAAACAAAACAGATCAAGCTGAAAACCCAACAGCCAAAATACATCGTAGACAGGGTCACTTTGAACTATCCCACAGCATTGTAACACCCTCTCCTGGCTGGGCTATCTATTGAAAAGTCCTATCTAAATAAGTAACATTAAAATCTTTTGTAGCAAATGGATTCCCTGATACCTACAGTCACATACAGAATTCTAGTTCTAAGCCTTCAAAGCAGAGAGAGAGAGAGAGAGAAAGAGATAGGTGTATGTATGTCAGATGAAGAAGATTTGCTGAATCACGCATCAAAGCAGGTGTAGGAGCAAGGCTTATGTCAGTTACTTTAAATATACAGTGGTACATCCAAAACATGCAGAATTCAGTTCTGCATTCCAGGACAACGCAGACATACTGCAGACAATGACTAAACCGAGCAATAGTAAAGCCCTCTGAGAGAAGGTTGCAATTGAAAAGAGATTTAAGATTAAATCAAAGAATGTCACATTTAATATTCAGAACACTCTAACTGAATCCTTACTGCCTAGGCTATAAATGGAATCTTACCGTGGGTTGGAATGAGAAAGTGGGCTCATTTCTTTCTGATAGTGATGCTCCTGACTGACGGGCTATGGAAAACAAAAAATAATAGTGAGAAAATAACTTTGCAAATATTCTTTCAGAATGTTTAGAAGTATGTAAGACATCTTTTATGAGCATACACATTTTCAGCTTCTGATATTAGAATTTTACAGTCTTTTTTATCTTCTGTGAAACTTAAAAGGCATATTCAGATCCCAACTGTGCAAAAGTACAACTTAACAGATGATTCTTGTCTGGGTGGAAATACATATGAATTAAGGAGACAACCACATGGTCATTTCTCTACTGCCTGTGTGGGGACAGAGTCAGGAAACAGAGAGGGAAGGGTGGCAAAGTCTTGTCTGATAGAAAAGTCTGGACTGTACATGTAAAGGAAGCATGGTGTGAGGATTCTCAGTTGGATCCGTGCAGAACCAGCCTTTCTTAAGACTAAACAACACTGAGCTAGAGCTAAAAGGGCTGGCAGACATGGCTCCTCTCTCACCAGAAGCACCATTAACAGCAATCTTAGCAGTGCCAAATGAAGTTTGCTGAAGCACGTATGCTTCTCTATGACACTGCCAATTTGAAACCTGGATTAAGCTGTTCATGAATAGCTATCAGTGGACTGTATGAATATTCATACAAAATATGATAATTTTCCACAGTCTTCAAGTCTTACCTACTCATTGTAAGAATGTGCCCCAAAGGTTTTAAGCTACATTTGGTTTATGGCATTAAAAGCAATTATTTGCAAGAAAGATCAATATTAATAAACTGGCATAAAAAATTAAGGATTTTAAAATTCAGAAATACATTTTGTCTCAGTATATATGTAGTGCTTCAAGAAGAGACCCCCCTTGCCATTATCACACAACTCAAAAGCAGTTCTAAAAAAATCACTGAAGCAAATGCAAAAGAAGTGAAAATACAAGCATACATTAAAAATACTTGTACAATTTAGTACATGGCATGCTAAAAATAAATACTAATCATTATGAAAGCAATTGCTTTTTTACAGAAATCAATATGAAAATGAGTATGTTCTCATGGTTTCAGGAAGTAGGGAGGGATGTTGTAAAATATATGTTCAGGATGAATGACACCCTAATTACTGCCAAATATGAGTCACTGCCTGGTGGTGGATAGTGCAATTCCCAAATGATGGCTAGTGGAAGCCTGAGGAGGAGACAGAAAGTGAATTAGTCAGTCTATGAACCAGAATATCTGTCTAAATAATTTTTAGTCTCATTTCATAGTAAAGAATAGTCTGCCTCAGTTTTGCAATTTACTTGATGTGAACAGATCCCTCTAGGGGTTGTCAAACTGAGCTCTCTGTTGGAATAATTCTGGGTTTAAATATCACTCCTCTTGTCTGTCAGACTTCAGTTCTGCCAGACCATTTTTGCGTTAAGTGGGGTTTTTTTCCGAATCATTACAAAGGAGGCCAGAAGACCTTCCACAAATTAGGTATGAACCTGGAAGTAACCTTGCAGATATTTTGCAGATAAGGCCTACGTGCCTGAATTTATATTTAGGAAGTTGTTTTGGGAACAAGTAATCTTTCTTCTCTGTAAGTACTTACTTGAAAGACAGGTCTTAGTGGTGAGCATATGTTGGAGTCTGCTAATGGAGCATTATACCCCTACAAGCTTCTAGGATATATTAATGAGCAATCTGAGAGAATCTTCCTTCTCCTTTGCATTTCTGACTGAGAATCATGGACCATACTCAAGAAGATATCCTGAATTCTCTTATACATGATCTTGCTCCAGAATGTTTGTGTTATATCTGAAGTGGTGTCTGAAGTGTGGAAACAGCTATGCAAGAATGGCCCAATTCCCTGACAGGGCAGGAAGGTCTTACTGGATCTCTAGAACAAAGCAAGGCATTTAAGCAGAAATATTTTGTAAGCTTTGTAATTTTTCTTGGCTAATGTGTATATGTGTGGGTATAAACTTTACATTATACTCTGCAATATACAGAAAAGTGTCTTTCATATTGTTGCAAAGCTACCAGGGAATTTCATAGACCTTAAGATTTAAGAAAACATTCAGGTAAGACACAGTCAAATAAAGTCTTTTAAAATATTTAGTTCTGCATGCACATCTTATTGATTTAGAACTGTACACACACACACACCCATTTTACAAGCGTTTACAATTCTCCTTCAAAGTAAATCCATTTTAAAATAGAAGTTTTTCATATTTATAACTGATAGATATGCTGGGTAATGTATAATATTCAAAGCTATTTTATTCCTTTTTGGCTGTCAGTTTACAGCAGCTGCTAAACAACTTACATTTCAATGATTCCTCCTGACAGCATATATTCAGTTCTTGGTAAACTATCATAGGTTATAAAATACAGTTTTACTATATCTGTTTTATAGTTGTTTAAGGACATCTGTTCTAACTGCAACTTAGCAATATGATTGATCTATGTGCCTTTACATTCAGAAGGGTTTCTGAGTTTTGTTAGTCAGTAACATGAGAATTTCCAATGAATCTGGAAATCAAACTAAAAATGGCAAGGAATGGAAAAAATAAACTCACTAAAAATGTGTTTTATGCATAAAATATTATTTTGATACATAAGTTCACTATCTAACATGATTACATCCTGCCCTGCCTTGCAAAACATCATAGGTGTTTCAAAATAAAAGATACACAAAAAGCTGCCTTCTGGTGGTGCTGTTGCCATAGATTCCACTAAGGGACAAAAATGTTGTACAAAATGAACAAAAACTTAGAATAAAAGTACTCCTTACTTATCTTTGAAGAACATAAGAAAAAGCAATAGATACTACTGATTTAAATAATCAGAAAGATATAACCTGGAAACACATATAAGCACGAAAGTTTAATCATGACAAGAATTTCAAACTGTCCTTAATTTCTCGAACTACAATATGAGGATTATTTCTATTTTTTTTTTTTCTATATACTGCACTGCTGAAATGATTTGCCTATGCAACTGGAAGATGGCTACAGATATATACAAACTTTTCTGCAGTTTGTACATCTGATTTTGGAAGGATTGATTGTTTGCAAATTCTCTTGACTCAACTCAAATGATAGTGGTACTAAAGATCAGTGACATAAAACCAAATTTGCTCTTATTCTAAACATATTTTTTACATAATATGTATAAGGAATAAATATATATATAAAAGGAACACTTATTGGTAAAAACTGGAAGCTGAAAAAACAATGACCTTACTCAGTTTAGGTCTTACACCAAGATCATACATGACTGAAACCCAGGAGGAACAACCTTTGAATGTGTTCTAATCACACCAACTAGGCTGCATTTTGATCTCTAAGTTAAGTAGGCTACCCATGCATACAGTAACACATTTAGTGCACATGTGAATGCTATGTGTGGGGATTCACTGAAAATAGCTATATGAAATTATCCAACAGATTTATAAATTTGAAAGCCAGAGGGAAGAATTAGATCAGCTCATGACCATTATGAATATCACAGGCTATTGAAGTGTAGATCACCAATAGAAAACACTGAACAACATCAGATCTAGAACTGAATGAACCGTAAAGTGGGTCCCTTTGAATATACTCACAGGTAATTCCCTGCCGACTGCCTTTGATATTTGTCGGTTGCCCAGTTCTAAATTCATTCAAGGTGTGCTTTATCAATTTTGTATGCTGCTCATTTTTAAACAAATATTTACAATGGTCTTAGCATGTTACATCTAAGCAGTTCCCTTATCAATTGCAACTTTACCAAGTAAATTAGGTTTTTTTAAACAGGACATATTTTCTGTAAAACAATTTTGATTATCATTAACCATATTACCACCCTCTAAATCTCTGTTAACTGAATTCCACACCAGATTTTTCACTGTTTTGACAATAATATCAGACTAACTGGCCTATATTAACTTTTCATTTCAGCTACCCATTTGAATACCAGCACAGCATCACTACTCCCAAAGTCTTCTGAAATGTTGTAAGCACATCAAAATAAACTAAAATTTAACACCAGCATATCAAAAATGCCCCCAATTACTCTTTTAAAAGCTTCTGTGTTAAACAACTTGGGATCATTAAATAATCACCTTCCCTAATAAATGCTGTTTATAACCTCCTTAGATACTAAAGGTCTAGAAAATTAATTATCACTCTCACATGACTACTCTGCATTTTTCCAAATATTGGAACAGAATTACATCAAGCAATGTTAAACACACAAGACCGTACTCCAAAAGGTTGTACCACATCTATGAATAGCTAGTGCTGTGGTAGCTATCTCAGAAAGGAATACAGAATCAACAGATACTCTGGACTAAGTGACATTGTACTGGTACAGAGAGTCTCTCTGCGTAAAGGCAGAGGTAGCTGGGTAGGGAAGACCATGGAAGCTGAATTTCAGCAGTCTTTATAGTAGCAAGGGACTAAGTGGTTAGTCCTTATCTGAGAAGGATTAGGTTTGCTTTCTAAATTATCTCTTTCTGGAAACGAGGTTCTTGCCATTAAATCTTAAAACCTCAATGCCCACCTTGCAAAATACAGAGGAGAAACCTGATAAGGCTGTATGTGTGAGACACACCAACACTTCAGTCAACTGAATGAAATTTGAAAAACTTCTCTCTCAAAGACAAGTATGTTACCTTTTACACTTGATTTATGTAGAGAAAGATGACCACAAAGGACTATTATGAAAAAATACAGCTATATTAAATTACAATTTAAATTACTAACCTATTATATCTAAACACATTTTTAGACTGATGCTATTATTCTGAAGCTACAGAAGCCGATCAAGGCAGTAAGATCAAAGAACTGTCTTTGCAATCACATTGTGCTTCACTGAAAACTGGAGCGGTACATTTTACTTTAAAAGTTAATTTTGTTTTAGTCACGTAATTTGTATTAACCAAACCTGATGTGTTTAAATATCCTTATCAATTTCCTTACGATTAAACTACTCAAAAAATACTGAGACTGCTATTCTGTTTATTTAATTGAGTTCCGTTTGTTCAGTCTTGCAGATTTACACCATATTTGAGTCTATTTAGTGAGTACTGAGAAAACGCACTGGAAATATGATGAAATCAACTGGATGTGTAATGTTGATATATCTCAAATAGTTAAAACCAACTAATGTTTCTTTGACATCCTGCAAAATATTACTCTGTAAACCAAGTTCTGATTTGTACAAATACCCACTTATCGATACATCTCTTCTCATTTGAAACCTTCATTTACCAGCGTACAACAAAGTTCCAATGCTGTCTTGATCACTCACTATGGAAGGTTGCTACTACAGGCCTCTATTTGGGTGCTACAGATCCCTGGAGCTAACTTGCACCTAACATTTTAGAGCATTTACTCTACAATAGTTTATACTGGGGCAACACAGCAAGCATTTATGCTTCTGATGTCAGATCTGCCTCAGAGTTGTGTGCTTTACTTAAGCCACTTTCATTGTTTATTATTGTTTCACCTATAATAAAATAAGAACTATATCGCTGATATAAACGGCGTATGAGGTTATCTAGTTTTACAGCAGCTCCTGCAAGTATATTTATATAGTTGCTGAAATGCTATTCTGTGATTTCATACATTCAATACTTTTCAGTGGAGTGTAACAAATACTCCTCCACTGCTTCTAACAGTACTCTGTCACATAGTGAAGCTGTGTGTGATTTTGTACAATTTTATACCAGGACAAATAAGGATACAAGGTGTAAAATAGAGAAGGATTACATACTAAGCACTCCTAACTACTACAGCTTTTTGCCGCTGTTCTCTTGGTTCAGTCCTTTAAACAGTTAGCTTTTCAGTAATGAGACTTTATCATTGTAAGAAGCATTATTTTCCATTACTCACACTGTAATGCAGTTGCTGACTGGTATATCTGGGTTTCATTCATTCATTTTGGAACTATTTTTAAGTACTCTATCACACACCTGCAGGTTGTCAGCCACTATTGTGACAAGCTGTACAGCCTATGTGATTATTCAGGAATCTGGGAAGGAATATATATAATAGATTTGCTCTTTGTCCATGGTGGTATTACAGAACCTGCTGGAAGTGCATATGTTTTGGTTGTATGTTTTACTTGGTAAGTTCTAAAAAACTTTTGGTAATGATGCCTTAAAGTTCAAAGCTACTCAAAGAAATTTTAATATTCAAGACCCCTGCGTCTCAGAATTGATAGAAAATATATAGAGCAAATACTGTGGGTTTAGACTTACTGGTGGGAAACCAGAGTTCCAGGTTGCTGTATCATCACTGCTTGTACTTATGCTAACATTGCAGTTGTCTATCTGCGATGCGCTCAGCCCATGTGAGATTCCAGTATCCCTTAATTCTTCATTTTGTTGTCTCTTCATGCTAGCCAGCATCTGTAGTTCAGATGAACTCAGTTTATTTGACCGGTAATTTTTCCAGTCATACTCCTGTGAAATAAAATGGAAAAGTCAGCAATGTAGACAGGATCATGGAACAGAATATATGAATGAAACAGAACCTTGGAGAATCTCTTGGGAAATCTTCAAGAAGCTACAATACTAAAGGAGAAACAAAATGTTTACTAGAAAAGATTAGTTAACAGATTTCTGTTCAGCTATAACAATCAAGCATATTTACACATAATTACGGGAAGGAAGAACACCTCAAACACTGTTATGGACTGCAGTTTGGATCCAGGATGTTTGGTGAAGTTGCTGTTCCACCGTAATTAAAAACAGAAGATAAAAGCAGGCTTTCAGAAGTTCAAAAATCCAGCAGCTAAAATTGCTTAAGCGTTAAAAGTAAATCTTGAAATAAACCCAATCGCACAGTTATCATAGTATCATAAACACCATCAACATAACATTTAGTTATTTGTCAAGCACAGCATAAAATTTCTCTGGAAAGCTACATAGGTCAGCACTAAATTTTAGAAGTTATTTTGATAACTTGCTAGCATACACGTTTTAAAATAAACATCACTGTATTTTCATTTTTCTTCATACTCATTGGTTGAATTGTTAATGTAACTCTAATTGTTGTATCAAACCTGATCCACAGACCAAAAGCTAAAAACATGTATTAACTCTTTTGCAGTTTGTACTTTTGCCTTGCACAAAACCTCATAAAATTGTCTAACCTCACCCAACCTGCTGTGGCATCATCTTTGTTTAAAGAACTTCTTTTAAGAAAGACTTCCCCCTTTTTGAAAAGTCCACACAGATTGCTGTTTCACAAAGGAACAGGGCTTTGTGGTCTGTACTTGAGGCCTCTAGTTTTGGTTCTGAATGGAACTACAAGCATTTCTGCTTGAAAAGTGAATCCAAATAGTGACCAACACTTCAGAGGATTTATATCACTGGAGTATGGCCAGTGGGCTCCAAGACACTACGTAACAGCATGCCAAAGAGGGACAGTGCTTTGATTCCAGTGAAGGGAACGGGACTTTTACACCAGGAGTTTATCATTTTCCTGGCAGAAGAGGCAATCTCAAGTCTGTTTTGCTGTGAGGAGGTACAGGGTGACTGAAGACCTCAAGAACACAAGCAGGTCAGCAGTACTAGTGATGTGAACATGGCTAGCTTTTCCTACTATGAAATCCAGTGTGTAATGTTTCAGTGTGTCTTCTGGGGCTACAACAGTCACCTTACCACCAGAAGACACACGGAAATTATTACTATAACCTCCTCTGCTTTCTTCCTATGTATACAAGACACATATCTAAGTCTTCTATGTGGATTATAATCATGAATTGGTCACACCTGAGACATAGGAAATCTTGAACTGCAGCTTTATCTTAAAGAAAATAGTATAGCGATGTTCAGTACCGTCAGGCTATGACATCACACAAACATGACATTTGCTTTTAAAAACTCTCAAGAATATATGCACGTGATTAATAAAATACTATATATTGAAACTATAGGTTCGATTATTCAGCTCCACAGAGGTATGATATATATAGCCCACAAACAATGTTATACATTGGACATTGATTTTCTTATTATAAGGAAATCGTGCAAAAAGATGTGTATGTCCTAGATTTTCATGTATAGTGCTTAGTATTTCACATGTAAAGTGCTCACTTTCACTAGAAAGCCTATACAGAAAGACAACACTGCTGAAAAAGGAGGTTATTTTCATTGACACGCAATAGGTTTTTTTTGTTGTTTTAGGGAGTTCCATATACCTTAATAAAACTTTATTTTCTGGGAAACAGAAAAGTATTATTGTCCATCTGATTGCCTTTCCTGACAGCTTTTTTTGTCCTCGGGATCAGAGCAAACCCAGATAATGAAGGATACTACATTACTTATTTCCCCTCCAGAAGTTTAACTGGGGATATGCTCGCAGATTCATCCACAGCACTGAACTCCAAGTATAGGTTGTGTAAGACAATGCACACTGGAGTGGAATTTTGAATCAAGACAGATGGAGAAAAGATTCCTTTTTAATAATACATGTAATGGCATCATGTTATGAACAGAACCTTGATTTCAGCTCAAGCTTCTAGAATATTTTACTACATATTTCCAAAAATAGTTTTAGAATAAAAACATGTAGCATATTTTTATTTTCTCATGGGTGCCATAAAAGAAATCAACAGCTGTTATGTCAATAGTATGTAAAATAATACTTCCTATTTTAATTCTAGTTAAGAAATTAAGTACCGTTCAGTAAAGACTGCTGCCCGAGATTAAATTTTTGGGAGTAGCAACTCCATCATATATTTTTGATGTTTCATTCTGACTACCATGATATTAGATTTCACTTAAAGCCATCTATTGTAAATTACCGGTCAAAAAGAAAATTAGCACTGAAATAACGAAGTAAACCACATTTGATAGGAAGTATGCCTGCAAGCTGACAATCATCAGGTAAATATATCACATAAACCAGGATTTATGACTGAAGAGCGTTCACATGGAAACAGTTGCATGTGCAAATATGCAAATCTTTGTGAAAAGAATTAATTCTAAAGCCTATTGCAAACATTTTTGGTTTTTTACTATGTACCTCAAATTCTGAAGTCAAATGTCTTTGAAAAGATTTTTCTTATGGAATTACCTCAAGCACTCAGAGGCTACATTTTGGCACAGATAAATGTAGTCTGCTATTTTGTACAAGGTATAAGAAGATGACAGAAGCTGTCAGAACAGCTGCCACCCCTTTTTTACCTCTAGATTTTGAGATCCAAGCTTCATTCCTGAATAGTGTGATTGTTACTACAATTTTTAATCCTAAAATAATACATGATGTTTTCTCTAGACCCTTATGGAATGTATGTTATTAGCTCAGTTTCTGTTAGTTGTTTGTTCACTTGATACGAAGCTTGCTATGTTACATCTGGAAACTCTGCTTTGCTCTGATGTACTACTATGCTACCAGATCTACAGCTGCTATAACTTCTATTGATCTTACTGAAGATGCTGATTTCCTGTTAATTTTCCTATATAGAAGTCTTCTGCATTTATTTGAGTATTAGAAGAGAAGCTTCGGCTTATCTTTCTTACCTCATAGAAGAAGGAATTGGCAAGCAGCCATTAAAATGACAGCACGAACTAGTGCTATGCAGAATAAAAGCACTAAGCATTGAATGTTTTTCTTTCTCTTTTTAATAAAGGCAAAACATTGCCCAACACTGCTTCTCTTTTCCTTTACACCTATGAAGAAAGACGCATAGATTTTTAGATTTTTTACAGAACAATTCAAAACATTTGTTGGGTTTTTTTTCCGCAGCTTATTTCAAATTGTCATTCTGTTTTCTTTTCTTGGACTGATCTCGCTTAGAAATACGATACCCAGAAAGGCAAATAGATGTAATGACAATTTTCTGCATTAAACATCCTGTACGCTAAACTCCTTGTAATAAAGGAGAAATAGCTTGGACTATTTATTCTGTAGCTTCAGATGACTACTACAAAAAAAGCCTCTTCACAAATTTTCTATTTTCTTAGCCAATTTTCAAACAGAGAATTTGAAAACTAAATTTGAGATTAAGTTCACTTTGTAATTTAGGAGAAAACTTGTGGCAATAAAACAAAGTCTGTAACTCCTGAGCTTCTACACATTGAGAATAGGCTTTGTCCTCCTTGCAAAAAATACTTACAAGCATCAAATTACATGTGCAATATATTTACAGCTACGAGTGCAGTATGGTAATAATCCTACTGTCTAATTCAGTAATCAACTATTTATTAAGCAGAGGAAAAATGATAGCTCTTTTCCTTCATCTTTTAAAACAAAACACCACAAAGAAGTTGTAAAATATATCAAACACTTTAAAAACTTAATTGCAATCCACCTACATGGTCTATATATAGTTACGTTCTACAGGACAAAGTTGACCACTGCATTAAACACTGATAACATTTTTTAGGAAAGTAATCGATATATCATTTAATTTGTTATGGACATACAGATTACAGTTATGATTAGTAATATAGTCGAATTAAGTGGAACAATTTTCCCAAACCAAAAAAAAAAAAAAAAATCAGGAAACACGGGAGGAATACATTTAATCACAAAAATCTGAACAGTTACTGGAAACTAGAATAAATAAATAAATAAATATTCACTGTAGGTAAGTTTTTCCAAAGAATACGTAACTGCTTGATAGAGCCACAAAAAAAAAAAAGAGAAGTGTCTATTCTTTTGGTCTCCAGCAGTGTGCAATACCTCATTCAAGATTTTACTACCCAAACCCCACTCTTAGATTAATGATCGTGCAGTAGCTAGATTCAACATCCTTGTGTAAAAGTGACAGAAAATTTTCACAGAACAGTAATCCTAGGACTAAATAACATAAACCTCCTTGACCTGTAGAAGAGACAATTGTGGAGGAATATGATATATAGCCATCAAACAGTAAGTGGCACAGGTAATAACAACAACAATAATAATGATTATTCATTGTTTCCTACAACAAATACAAGAACAATAAAGCACCAGGAATGAGACAGTGCATTCAAAACAAATAAAGAGATACATATTTTTTCCCACAAATAGCAGTTAAAATCTGAAATTCACGGTCACAAGGCAAAGGCCATATAGATACAAAAAGCAACTACACAAATCTATAGGAAAAAAATCCACCACCACAAAGACAACACCTTTCACTGAAGGAATTGCTAAACTATGGATTGCTGGAAGGAAGCCTGCAGGGCATGCTGGTGAGGTCTCGCTGGATGCTTGCTCTGTCCTTGCACTGGTTTTTTTTTTTTCCCCCTACCCATCTACGACTGACCGCTGCTGGACAGAAGATGCTGGCTATGTAAGTCTTTGGTCTCACAGGGTATTAGCTGATGTCAGAAAAAAAGATCTCTCAAGCCTGAGGAAGAAGTTGGGCCTTTCCTCTCAGATGCTCAGGAATAAATCTTAACTACTCATAGCACATTTACAGAAGAGGTCACATGTTAAAAGATATGCATCTGCAGTAATTCTAAGCCCAAAAGAGTTCTACCCAAAGCCATGTAAGAGCAACATACTGCCTTGTCTGTGATTTACAGAATACACTTGATTATTAAGCTCCATTTCCTGATTCAAAGCACAATTCAAAGCACATCATTATAAGCTGAAAAGACAAGACTTAGCTATTAGGAAATATTTAAGAACATAATTAGCTTCAGACAAGCTTGTTCTTCTAATTAGTGCATGTTTCCATAAGAAGAATTCAGGAAGAAAAAACTAGGAATAAAACAACACTTGGGTGAATGTAACAATTCTTTTAGTAGCCTGGCAATTTACCCTATGACACAGCCTGACTGCTGGCCCTCAATTGCATAATTTATAATTTTTTCAGAGCTGTTGGAGAGAGACTATGGAGTACCTAGATTAACACT